TTACTTTATTATTGGATGTCCAAACGACGTCCTTGAGACGTATTTTAGACATCCGTCGACATAAACGGGACGTCGACATAAACGGGACTTTTCAAGACATATTTCGGACATCCAAAGGACGTCGAATTGTTGCATGGGCTATTGCGTAATATTGCACTTTTAACGTAAAATTTTGCTGCTTGCACGCCAATTCTCGTCAATAGATTTCGTTGGCCGCCATCAAATTTCTCTTCTGTACAATTGTAAGTCGCAATAACGAAACAATGCTTTGTCGTTAATTGGATACTCGGGTCGTTGCTTCAATATAAAAGCCAGTTATTAAAACACTCGGCTTTGTTACATAACGCTCAGCATATCTCTATGCCGATGCGTGTGACATTGCACCCACAGAAAAGATTTCCAGATCCAATGCTATTATACTTGACTGTATCATAAAATAGGATCGATATAGAGCCAATCATATTTATTCTAGAGAAAGGAATATTTTATTCTTAAATGGAAAATTCTAAAATCTAGGATAAAATGATCTTGATGCTATCCCATTATTTTTCTCAGGACTAATTCCATGTAAAATCGTGGCAATCTTATAATATTCTTGATCTGGTAATACATCTCGAACTGAAGGAAATCTTATTCTATTCTTTTTGTGGCGGTTGCAACGCGCGATCCGGCACAAATTGGCAATCCGGCACTACGCGACACGTGCGCGGGCGCCAGCTTCTGAGTATTCACCAACCGCCGCTAGGCCGCGCGTATGGTGACAGTCAAAAACTCGGAATCAGAATTGATCAGAATTCACTCTCGCGGGCCTCCTTTTATACCCTACGGGACTGAATTTTGCTTCCGAGTTTTTGGCCGCCACCATGCGCGGCCTAGCGGCGGTCGTCAAATATCGTGGTGCCAACTTCGTGCGTTGGAGGGAAAATTTATTCTAAATGCAAGAATACACAAACTTACATTTATACAAATTATTCTTGTCTCAATATACTAAGTCAATCTTTTTTAATTCGATAGAGGAGAATAAGTATTATCGATTTTAGTTTGAGATTGTCTTATTTTTATACTAAATGAGGTTGTGACAAGTATAAATGCGTCAAGAATATTTTTTGTCTCGGTAACAGAAATCCTTTCTGAGGGTGTGGTTTTAGTATTATATGCACGTATATATAGTACATATATTAGCACGTAACAAAGGTCTCAGAGGTCTCTCAACTTATTCTTAGGGTACCTTTTCTTTTTCACCTTAACAAAATAACAATTATCGACATACGTGACAACGTTTGTAAGGAAAATTTCCTAAATCTGAAATTTGTCAAGTTTATTTCAATTGAATATTTATTTATTGTGTACGCACGATATAATATCTCAATTAAATCTTATACACATGTATTTGTGTAACGTTAGGTAATATTTTGCTCGTATTTTACTTAAAATGTGGCTAATACAATGCTTTATTTTATACAATTCATGTCATTTGGTCCACTTCTTTAGAATCTAGCACTACTTTTTTAATAGGTTTTACATAAAATTTAACATCATAGAAAAGACCAAAGATTTGGCGTGAGAATTCGGCTTGGGTCTGAAACGCGCAACTGTCAAACAATTTCTAATTAGCATTATGCGTTGCATGTGTCAGTTAATCTTGAGGAACATTCATTGGACAGCATGAATAAAGTGATTATTCGAATTGTGGCTACTCACTCCCTCACTTCTCTATCCCCCTCTCTTTCTTCTCCTACATTCTTGCGTAATCAGATTTATAACGTAATAACGTGACACGTAACAACCTTTTTGCAACAGATTACCACTAACGAGTAAGGACAGGATTATATTGCGCTAGGGGTGACTTTGTTTTACAACAATTAAAAAGTTACGACGTCACAGCCGAGTTTGTTTAATCATTTTCTAACATTTTCTTCTATTTAGTACTTATCTTCAGTAATACTATTCATTCATATTTTCCATTGTAGAGGCGCAAACTCTCTTTTTTTCTGGTCTTTACGATAAATTTAAAATTTCAGTATGATAAATCGTAGTGTTGAAAAATTTTATTTCTAACGCAAGAGTTCTCTCTCTCTCTCTCTCTCTCTCTCTCTCTCTCTCATTTCGTCTGCTGCCAAAGAGATCGGTTAAACTGCCCTGCACGCTTATATGTACGATACGCGAAATTAGAAATTAACAAAAAGTGTCCTCTTACGTATCGAAATTTAAATTATGTATGTAGCGCTTAAATTGTCAGCCGACTAACGTACGCCAAAAAGAAGGTATAAATCTTACTTAAAATAAGAGTACGCCATTCTCGAAAATTTATGATAATATTAAATATAATTCGCATATGTATATAATGTTACAGATATGTGTGCATGTAAAAATCTTGTGTCTTATAAATCGTAATTTTATAATGTAATATATTTAAACGAGTTGCAGTAAAAAAACTAAATGAAAGTTTTACTTTTCTATAATACGTTGCCATTTCTGTATGTATCTACATGTTATTATTAATGACATCTTTTCAAATATCGAGTAAGACCAATTTATTAATTTATTACTACATTTATATATGCTCGATTTATTAATTGATACCAACACATTTATGCCATTTTATCCATCTTACGTAGGATGTGTTAGTAACAACGCGTTCGTTTGCCCGTCATCAATGATTTCTTCGAGATACGTATACAATTAGTACATGTATTTGTATATACCTTTCTGGCTCTACATCGAGATTAAATGAAATGTTCATTAAGAACATTTAATTTGATTTACAAGTTATTTCTGAAATAGTCTGCGTATATATTTATATATTGAAGGATCCTTTCTTTGAAACATTAGATAAAAAAAAATAAATGCAACGAGTCGAATGTAGATATCGATATGTAAGACGATTTCTCTTATATAATAAGTAAATTGTAGGGGAGCGAAATAAGAAACTCGATACAATTGCTTTTAAGCGGCTTTATTGATTCTGGATCTAATGGAATGCGAGTGCGGAGTTATTCGAACGGATGAGAAGGGGATGAAGAGAATGAACCGCGGAGAAAGAAATCCACGGTTGATTTTTGGAAAAGATTTCGTGGGCGTTGATCGTAAATTTGTGGAGTGTTGGTCTCTGATGCCTGGTCCTCTGATATCTCGACAATTAGGCGACGTAAGCATAGCTCTTATACGCGTACGGTAAGGCCGGGTATGCCGAATAGGCGCTATAAGTCGGTAGGCTGTAAGCGCTGTAAGCTAGCGGCGCGGAAACGATGGGAGCACTGTAGGATGTCACAAGCGGGGCGCCGATGATCGCGCCGGGTGCTGGTGCGGGTGCGGGAGCCGGTGCGGGCGCAGCCGCGGCCAACGCCAAAAAGGCGAACAAGCACATCTGTAACAATGATATCGATCAACGTTACAATATCGTCGATGATAATACGCTTAGAATTAGTTGAATTGATTAACGCGACGATACGATATATTTCTCTTTCAACAGGATGAAAATAAATGGATAATAATTTGACGAGAGTCACGTACGAGTGTTAGATTGTAAGCGAGAATTCGTTATTTGCATCCAGCGATGCTACCGATTGTATACGAAATGCGATACGCGAGAACAATAGATACACATGGTCGAAATCTCAATTGACTTACCAGTTTGAACATCTTGGAGCTCGTATATGTCTGGCTTGCAGTCAGTACGATAATACTCCAAAATACGACGTACCACGTCTTATATAGGAGCAAGGAATCCCTCGGCTGCGAGTCCATCCCCCTTCTTCGGCCTCTCCTTTGCGCTTTCTTAGCGCACCTTCGGCGAAGAGGGCGTCGCCTTGTCTCAAGCGGAAAACGAACGTACGCTAGGCAGCTAGTGCGCTATTTCCTCTTTTTCCGTTTCTTTCTTCAGCCGTCAACCAATGGAGCTTTGTTGCGCCACCGTACATTAATATGATGATTCTTCAAGGTCACCCATGACGGCCAGGCGTGGTCAAACTACTCTCCTTTTCTGTCTCGGATGCCAATATATATACGCCACAAGAGCGACCCTTCCTACGAATCTTTACGGTAATATTAATACTTACTTTATTCAATATTTATAATTATCTACTAATCAAATGTTTTCCTAATTGTAGAAGAGCAGACAATTTCGACAAAGAAGAAATTGGAAACTTGAAATTTATTTCCTTTCCCCGTCTCGTCCGATGGACGCAGCACATTTTAGGCTAAAGCTTTCAAAGGTGCAATAAAAATGTTTCTTCTTCCACAACAATCGCCATTCACAGTTAATCGTGAATAAGCTAATGTCGGATTAATTACTTGCAATTTATTTTTCGATCCAGTCTGCGTTGTCAATGCGTACGGAATGCAAGATTACGAAGGCGCATCGTCCAATGTAGCATCTCTACTTGCATAGATGACAATTTCATATTCGTTTCGGTGAGAGTCAAAGGATAATTAAACTGACCATTTACCTTTGGTCTTTTAATGTCACGAGTGGGTGTTGGATTTACTCGTCGATAAGTTTTATCGGCCTATTTTATCGCTGCTTGCCGCGAGCAACATGAGATTTTTCTTTCTACGTTTCGATTTCCTTTAACGAGAGTTAATAATCTTTTTCTCAAGTTTGACATTTGAAAGAAATTTGCATATCAGCATAAAGCACACGTAAATCGTAAACCGTAAAACCGCGCTCTTGATTCGCGTGTTTATGTTTTCGCTTTCGTTTTCCACGTAAATATCCGAGAAGCAAGCCAAAAAGTGCATCGAAATTAACACAAGGTATTGCGAAAGTACGAAAGGGTATTGCGGTGAGAAAAAATGCCACTTGCTTTTTCGAATTCTCGTTATCTTTAGTTCTCTCTCTCTCTCTCTCTCTCTCTCTCTCTCTCTCTCTCTCTCTCTCTCTCTCTCTAGAGAGAGAGAGAGAGAGAGAGAAAGATCGATCGGTCCATGGAATTTCAGATCGCTCGAGCGGACGAGCGTGGCGCCGATTAAGGCGGCGTTCCTGCGCGCGGACAGACTCGACGAACTTGAACTTGAGAAAAAATATGCGGGCGTCGCCTTGAAGTTCTCTCCGTTGCGTTGGTTGATGAGATCCGGTTGACTAAGCGAGAAGAAGGAGGGAGAACCAAAACAGGACTGACTGTATTGAGAAAATTATACTAGTAGAGGCCACGCGACGTCGACGATCTCTCGAACGAACGAGTTTTGCTCTCCTTTCCTCTCGTTTGCTTTTATTTCCTTGATTACGCCGCCCGACATAAACCGCCTGGGGTACTCTGTGTTAAGCGAATTAAACTCGTATCACGTATACTCAAGTGCTCGCTCTCCTTCGCTGTACTTGGAGTCAAAGGGATTCTAAAAGCGGTGAGTGTGTATTGGGAGATGGAAAATAATTTTCACCAAAGTTTTTCGATATTATATAATAATATTTTTATATATGAGACGAAAGCTAATAATAACGAATTAATTGCTTGCGAGACAGAGGAAAATCTTTTCAAAAAGATGTAGATGCAGTGAGGAAAGAGAATACGATGAAAGATCAGGTGATAAAATTGGATTTATTGAACGCAGTACTGTTAGAAAAATTTGACATGTCGCAAGATAGAGCCGAGTTGAGTTTGCATTGGATTATAGTAGAAGTGGTGCGGAGTAGGCAGCGTACGCAGCAGGTGCAACGGCATGAGTGCTGTAAGCTGCTAGGGGCGCGGCGTAAGCGATCGGAGCCGTTGCGATCGGAGCCGCTGCGATCGGAGCCACTCCGTACGCCGCGGCGAGCGTGTTGTAATTCCTGGCGACTACTTGGCTGCTACTGGCAGTCACGATCGGTGCTGGCAAGATCGGCGCTGCCGCCAGAACTGCTCCTGGCTTAGGTGCAGGTGCAGCGCAAACGATAGTCAGGACAACGGAGAGAATGCACTAGAGAATGCAAAAATCATTATTTCATCCAATGTTTATATATCTTAGTTTACTACAAGAAATATATCTCTGAGAAATCAAAGTAAAATTGGAAAACAGTAGCGCGCTAAAGAATGATAATTGAGAAAATGCGAATAATATTCAACTTACCAGCTTGAACATGTTGAATGGTTGAGTGGTACGCTCGCGAAGCGAAGAAAGAAAGGGTTCTGCTTTTCGAATGAAAAAGCAAAAGCCTTTATAGCGCTTTGTTCGACCCCCAACTGGCACTTCGTCAAGGCCATACCTCTGCCTCCTGGTTAACGAGCACTCTTTCTCTCCTTCCTTTTTGGCACGGCGAGCACGACGAGCACGACGAGCATCGTCAAGTGGCTTTCTTTTCGATGCCGATATTTTCGTCACCGACGAGACGCAACGATTCAACGACCTTGAATGAATTAGATCTTGTTTCGTACGTCTCGCGAGGCGGTTCGAGATGGAATATGGGACTTGTACGCTCTACGATTGCTAATTCGATCTAACGTACGAATAGAGCGGTTCGCTAATTGTTAGCCGTAAGCCGATCTGGACGCGGTCCACGTAATCATTTTCCCTATCGCGCAACCTTGCCATACATTGTATTCGACTGCACGTACCTAGGCAGGGAGGATTACGTAACGATCTGCGCCATTCTCGCGTTTACATAATTCCGATTGAGCAGATATCTCGGACACAGGGACAAGCGCCGTGTGGGACAATTGAGCCCATCGTTCCGTCAAGGCTATCAAGGCTCTTTCTTTTATTTCATTAGTAATCTGTATATAGTAATCATCGGCAGGTTTGAATCTAGCCAATTCCCGAAATATTCCCCGATTCGTGTCCAAATCAAGTGGTCATTGCAAGTCTGGTCGCGATTTTAGCGTGACATTCTAGGTCGCAAAGCGATAATTTGCGTAACGTAGCTTCTTCGGCAAGTGGCTCACGTAGCCGAGGAAAGTGCACGACCGGTGACCGCGGCGAAACGAAAGCGATCAAATGTCAAAGAGAAAAAAAAATGCTACCCGGTTCTCGCAATTGTCGGCAGATGACAATCGGCGACACAAAGGGGGCAAGAAAGAGATGCGTGCAACCTGCATTACTTGTGCGAGAGCATCAAGAGCGATAGTTGGAAACTCGGATCTCACCGGACCACATCGCAATCTCGCAACCTTGGAAGGCATATCCTGCTTCTGATCGCCAAGACGACGGCGCGGCAAAAACAAATCTTGCCGATCGTTTGCATAAAGCATCCGTTCGAGGGCACGTACGAGGACTCGATCGTTGATCCCGGGCCTTCGTTCTATCCCTTTGATCTCTTCACAAAGAAGAGAGAGTGTCGATCCGTTCGGCAAGGACGTATACCTGTAGAGTTTTTTACATTTTCAAACTGTTTCAAAGAATTAAACGTTTCTCTCTAGTTGACTGTTTAGATGTGAATAGGTTTTTCCACAACTTTAAAAGCTTTATATATCGCGACGGAATTGTGCAGATTTAGTTTTTAAGAGAGATTTAAGAGAGATGGTCCAGGCTGGACTTGCTCGTTTGATAATGAAAATGCGGCAATCCAGTAATAAATTATTCCGGATGTGCCCCCGCATATACGAGTTGGACAAATCGTCATGGTGGGTCATGGTGGGTCGTGGTGGGGGGAGAGTCTTTGTTCTCGAAAGTCGTAAGAGAAGGCACCACGTATAAAAGACACCCGCCGAGTAATCGCGAATACATCGCAGTTTTCGCAGCGAGACAATCACTTGCGCACCGCAGTTAAAATGATGAGCAAAATCTTTGTAAGTTTTCATCAGTAATTTGAGTTGACGCCATGTAAATTTCTAAATTCTTTCTAAATAAATGCAATTACATCGAATATAAATGTAATATAACACGCGTGTTTGGCGTTTGCTATGGGGAAAACATGTCCTTACTAATATCAAATTTATAACACTGTGCAATCTACAATATCCGAAATTGATATATATGTTTCAAGATTCTCATTGGCGCTCTTGCGGCCGTCTGCATCAGCGTTTGCTCCGCCGGAGTGGTTCCAGCGGTTCCAGCGGCTCTAACAGTCGGAACCTATGCCACGAGTTATAATGCCCACACCGTCAACCACGCCATAGCCGCCCCATACGTGGCGGCTGCACCTTTGGCTTATCCCGCTTATGCAGCTTATTCCGCTCTGCCGGCTGCGTATTCCGCCCCCATCATCGCCGGAAGGCGCTAAAGTGCTGAAACCAAACTGACCTCTGTCTCATGGATCTGGCAATGCTGATGCTGACAAGTATCCAATTGAAAACTACCGCGTTATCGACGTATCATTATCCGTTCAATATAATTTATCTATAGTATCGCCTTTTTCTTATTCATTTTTTTCTTCTCTACATCTTTACTGCGCAATTCTTATTCAACGTGTAGACTAAATGTTTACACATTACATTTAAACAAAGAAAGAATCGACATTGCTCAATTTTCCATTTCTGCAGACCTCTCTGTAAAAAGGATAATCTTGGGCAAAAGAAAATACATTCTCTCTGCTTAATCATTGCCGTATTCTATTAATATAACTTACAATATTAATGTCGATAAACCTGATACAAATATAGTCTGTGCCACATTTTGTACTTGTAAACATTTCTTTTGAATTTTTCTTTTTGTCATGTACACGCAAATGTGTGTATATATATATGTATATATATTTATATCTTAATAGATGTATCTCGTTTGTTGTCCTTACATTATGCACAATGTATAAACTATGATGAGATAAAAAAGAAATGAAAATGTAAGCGCGAAAAAATAATAAAAATTGACGATTGAAATAAAGACAAGATGGTAACTATCTTTAATGGCAAAAGCATCTAACAATAAGAATTAAAAAGAGCTAATACGTAAAAGAGATTAACAAAATATCCTTGGAGCAATTGTAAAAACTTTCCACGCGTGTGCGCGAGTGAAGCGCAGTTAAAATAGTTAAATAACCAAGGAAAAGTATGGCAAAAGTAACAGAGGCAATGGTGCCTCTCCCATCTCTAATCACTACGTTCTGCTAAAAGTCGTGTGTATACAATATAATATATAACAATGAGCGCCTTTCGATTTGGCACAAGAGTTACAATATTTTTAGATCTTTGGTTTCGATAAATGGCTAGAGTAAGTCCAGTAACCTGGAAGCGACACGAAAATTTACGCGCCTGCGTGAAACACGTCGATATGTATACGTGCGTTTGCGCGCACGCATTGTCTTTTCTTCTTTATTAATAAAAAAAAAAGCCCCGCAATCGCATGTTTCCTCAGCATAAATAATGTCTAAAATTTAACGAAACGTAATATTATTACGAGCTTGTTATGAAATAGAGCTTAAAACGTTGCGCTTTTCATCTCGATAATAGAAATACGTTGCTACCACTAAATCTCCCTCGCTAGCCAATCTAGCCGATCTAGCGAGAAAACGACTCTCTCTCTCGAATTTGCATTCGCGACAAAATACGTGTATTTGGACAAACTATTGGAGCGATCGCTGAAATATTCGCAACTTACAGCTAATTCATATACAATGACTAGAATAGAAACAAACGTTACAATCTGTTATCACCATGCAGAGATATACTTATAGTTACCGCATTAGGCATCTTGATAATTTCACAAATACATATTGGAGCATCCCAGATAGCACACACAGAGTCGCATACTTGACAAATCATTGTATCGTTTGCGATTAAAATATTGCCCGCGAGCGGGCATATTCTCCTCTTTTCCCTTTCGCGCGTGAAAAGGTTGAAATTTAATTTCGATCCTTGAATCTTGGCAACTATGCTGCTCTGGGATGCTGCCGTCATCACCAAAGCCACGTTAAATGGAGTATTTCTCGGTGGAGTATAGGTCCGAAATAGAAGAATATAAGCTAAGAGGTAAGTAACAACTTGTTATAATAATCTTATTTATCACGGACGTGGCACTGGATCACGATGTAATTCCGCTTTTCTCCCTCCCCTCTCCAAACATTATCAATCATTTTACAAGCGATATACTCGTCACGCATCATACACGTTCTGCATATACAGCTTATCGAAAAGGGGTAAACGATAAATAATTTAACAGCTATATATAATTACGGATAAATAAACCTCCCTCTATATCGGTTACTCGATCGATATTCTGGAATATTTTAGATTTCTCCATAAAGATTCGTGCTACTAGACTTTGTTTTTAAAAAAATAACATTTGTTCTTAACGTCGTGTATGTATCGTGTATACTTTTGTGCATTTATCGCGTTAAATGTTGAACGACGTTACACGACCGTCTGTACCGTACGACATTATTGATTTCTTTACTCGATAGTGTCTCCTCGAGTCGAAAAGCGTCGAAATGTCCGTAATCGCCGACGTTAATATTAAATATTAAATTTACCGCGAGAATAGAGCATAACTTTACTTTATTTATAACGTACGAAGATGGCAGTTCCCGCGTGCGATGCGAGCGTGTCGCGATGTAAAATAATGTTACACATTTGCATAAATATGAAGCAAAGACTTGCGCGTGTGAAAATAACAAAAGGATTGTAAACCGGGGGATTGAAAGATATCTAACAATAAAAGGAAAAAAAAGTAAAAGTCGCTAAAGTGACGACAACGACGATCAATAATAGCCAGGATAATGATGGTAACCGGATCTCGGAGGATGGTACGGGGCCGGGCTGACGGGATAACTGGGATTGTATCCAGACAAGGGAGGTGGAGGTGAAGACAGCATTCGACCTTCGCCGGCGTCAGGTACCACGTGCGTCGTAGTCGAACCGACGGGTTGCGGGCTGGTGATGACGCGAGTACCGGACCCGTGCAGATGATGCGATCTGGAGAGACTGAGATCGACACTGTGCCTACCGCCAGGAGTGAGATCCAGGCTGACCACTCGCACAACCTCGTTGTGCGGATAAGGTGGCGGTGGCGGTGGCGACATGGAGTAGCTGCCCGTTCTACTGAGATCCACGCTTTGTCGCTCGCCAATGTCGTAGAGATGATGATGATGATAGCGAGTGTTTTGCATCTGGGCGCCGAAACTGTGATGAAAGCCCCGGGCCGACATGTCTAAGCCTTGAAGTTCACCACTGTTGAGCACCAACGGCTCAAAGTTTGATCTCTCCCGGGTGAAGTCCTGCTCGAGCGAGTCGTACTTGTAGGACGTCGACAGATCTAGCTGCAAGGCCTTCTCCTTGACGGACAGGCTAAGATTCTGCGCCACCGAGTCACCTTCGTCGCTCGACAAATTGTCCGTCGGCACCTGATGATGATGCACATTCTGGTAACGGTGATTCGGCGTGGCTGACGGCGACACTAGATCCTCTTGTTGCATGTGTATATAATTGGGCGAAGAGACGCGCGGCAGCTCCTCGTGATGCAGATATTGCTCGATATTGTGGGTGCGCGAGGCGTTGATGTAGTCGACCGGCCGATGTAAATGATAATCGACGTGTAGGTGGCTCGGAGGAGTGTGCCGGTCGTCCGGGGTCGGTGCGGGCGAAATGAGTTCTTCTTCTTGCTGCACGATGTACGACTCTAGATGACTCGGCGAGCGTGACTGCGGCATCGGCGATTGCAGCTGGCTCGAGATGGAGTAGAGATTGCTCTCGCGATCGTTGTCCTCCAAGATCGGGCTGGACACCGTACCTATGTCCCTCTCGGCGGCATCCAGAGCCGCCTCGACCAGCAAACTCGCGCTCGCGCTCTCCGTCCTACCTCGAAACACGTTCAATCGCAATTTATTGCTTTCCATCAAATTCGACACCGTCGAGCTAGTACGCGATACCACTTTCTCGCTACCACCATCCTTTCTGCCATCCTCGAAATCATAAATATCGGAGGACGGCGCCGGTAGGTGAATGTCGGACGTAGGCGGCGGATTGAATTCGTTGAGCCACTTTTTGCTGCCCTTGCTCAACGTCCTCGAAGTGTCGTACAGATCAACCTCCGTCTGCCCGTTCTCCAGCGTCGTCGCGTCAAGCCCGCCGGACAAGGACACGGTTTGCGTAGACGGGAACTGAGGCTCTTGTTGTTCCATCTTATATTTCATCGTAGAACTTGCCTCGCTCTGTAACGAATCCACGATGACGTTGTGAGTAGAGTTGGGCATCGCTGCTGCCGTTGGTGCCGACGCCAATACCGAAACCGATATCGATATCGATATTGGTGCCGATGCCGTTGATGCCGTTGACTCTGGCGCCGGTGTCGATGCCGATGCCGACGTTGGTACCTCGACTTTCAAGCTGCTCTCCGAACTGCAGTCGTCCAGAGACGGTAAACTGTTGCTATTGTCCTGCTGTACGAGTAGACGACGATGAGAAGGCAAGTTTGGCTAAATGTCACATGGAATTGTATCAACGATAGCTCACCTGTGAATTTCTTCTGCTAGAGTGAATGATCCTCCCACAAGGCACATCCTCAACGAGGCCACCGCTGTACGCGTCAAAAGTGTACGCCACGGACCTCTCGATCTTGGGCATCAACTCCTCCGTAAGGCCGTGCACCTTTTTGTAATGAAACTGCAGACACTGCTTCGTCGTGAAAGCTGCCTTGCAGCTGTTCTCTTTGCACCTGGTGAAGGTGAAGAAGGTGAAGAAGGTGAAGAAGGTGCGCTCATTACGAGAAATATTATTCCGTGTCAGTTAAAGAGGAGCTCTCACCTAAATGGTTTCACACCACTGTGAGTCAACATATGTATCTTCAAGTTGCTCTTGTTCTGAAACATTTTTCCACATCGATCACACGTGGCCGCTGCGACAACATCTTTGTGATGGACCTCCTTCATGTGGCGCTGCAGGGCTGCGCGAGAACCCAAGAGTTTCAAACATAATTTACATTGAAATTCCCGAAGCACCTCGGCCATATCTGCACAAAGCAAAAGCGTACTGGGCGTAAATATAATAGTGGAAAAGAAAGAAAAAGAAAGACTATTACCGCTGTGCATTCTCTTGATGTGTACTTTGAGTTTTTGCGGTTGACAGAATTTGCGGCCACAGAAATCGCACAACGGTCGCGCCCGATGCGGATTCTGCGAGCATCCATAGGTCCGGTGCATCTCCAAGTAATTGAGCCTTAAGAAAAACTTTTTACAATATTGACACTGATACGCGCCGCGACCCTCGTGCAACTCGGCTGCGTGTTTCATGATGTTATCTTTGCCGAGCACCGTGGCACCGCAAACCTAAGAAATGGGATCCATTCGAGTGAAGGAGCAATCAAGCTTTACATTTCACGATACATGAATACATATATACATATATACATGTAGAAATTACCTTGCAATGATATTTTCTTATCGTCAAACTGTAATTCATGTCGTGAAAGATGCAGCAATGCAATCGATAATATATCGAGTGTGCGAAAATAAGGTTGCATCCCCCGCAATCTGAAAGCAACGCGAACGATGAGGAAATATTGTGTCGGAGTTGGACAGACTCTACACACATACACACGTACTCGTTTTATTGATTTTATTTTTTCTCGTCCACGTGGAAGATTGCGCCTCTACCCAATAAGTGAGTTCCATCCCCGACGCGATATTCTGAGTTGTGACAAAGTAGAGCTTGCCGTGCTTGGCGATGACGGCGATGCTTCTCTTCTCCTTGGTCTCGGCTGGTCTAACGTATCGAGTCCAATTGCTCTTGAGCGGGTCTGTAGTGCTGACGTACGTACTCTTTCCATTATTATCTATCTGAAGAGGAAAAGATGCGAATGTGTGCCGATACTTGAGGAATGGATGAAAATGATAAATAGTACCTCCCAAATGTGGCGCATAGTGAAGTCATCTGGAATGTCCATCTCTCTGACCGGTATGCCGACAAGCGGGCCAAACTTGGCGTAGATCGGAATCGGGCTCTTGGCGTAGACGCCGAGACCGTGATCGGTATTGGTAGTCTTCAATTGGAGACAATCCGGGAGAGAATCCCTCGCGTACAACGGTCGATCCACCTCTATCACCAGTTGCTCCTCCTCCTTCTGCACCTTCGGCTTGGTCTTGCACTGTTCGCTGGACGTTGGCGATTCGTCATCCGACTCGAAGCCGTCGTACGCCAATCTGCCATAGCCCTCGGACATTGGGTCCTGCGACGTGACCGCTTTCACTATCTCGGCGTTCTCCTTGTGTCCGTTGTACCACTTGTCGTAGGAGATGGCGTCGGCTATCGCCAGCTGCGACGTCGTCAATGGACACGCGTCCTGCAAGTGACGGCTGTTGCACTCCTGGCAGAGCTTGATCTTGATCGCGAGTCTTTGCGGCGACGTCTCCGCCGTGACGTCGTCGGTGCCGTTCTCGGCAGTAGCCTCGGTGGCCTCGATGGCGATCGGAGGTAGCGGCTCAGACGCCTCCGGCGCTTCCCCTTCAACTACGATGCCGTCCTGCGGCGCTTTCCGCACGTCGTGATGCTTTTTGCTCTTGTGCTCGCTCGCGTGCCTATGCTTTCTTCGCCGGTGTTTAAACACCGTCGCCTCGCTACCGCTGTCCAAAGCGTTGTTCCCGGAGGGCTCACTATTTTCCTCGACTTGCGCATCGTGACGCGGACGTTTCCGTCTCCTTTTCACTTTGCGCTGCTCCGTGTCCTTGGAATCGTTCAAGTTGGGTTCAAGCCTGGCCTCCTCGAGCTTTTCCTTCTCCTTCTCCTTCTCCTCGGGTGCATCCACCACGGCCGCCTCGACGCGATCGATCGTGCCGACGCGGGGCGTAGGATTCAAGAAATATTCCACGTCCTTGTTTAAATCCTCGGCGTTGCAAATCTTGCCGTGTTTCGGAAGAGACGCCGTCTCGTCTCTCGTATCGTCCAAATGCAACTTACTAATTCTATTATCCCATAAGGTATCCTTCGAATCGCCAGGTATACCGATCGCATTCACCTTGCACCTGCTGTCGCTATTTACATCGTTTCGAAATCTTACACTATCTACGTCATCAGTCTTGGTCATAGGGGGTTCGATGATAATGTCCTTGGTATCGATTTCAAAGCTCTCTACGTCTAATTTCAAATTACTGTCTAACTCACTGATTACGCTCGTCTCGCGATTACTCGAATCTCTGCTCTCCGCCGAGCCATCTGGCGCGTTCTCACCGGCACTGTTTCTCGAGTGTCGCCGCCTCTTCCGCTTGTCCTTGCGATGCTTGGTCTTGTTCTTGTGATGTTTTGACCTCGAGCTCCGTCGCACGTGCAACTTGATGGCGTCGTCCAGCACCTCTGCGACGCTCTCGCTCATCGCGTGGACAGAAGGCATCTCGACCATGTCCGACGCAGGATCTTGCTTTCTTTCGTCAACGGGCTCCTGCTGCTGCTCTTGCTCTTGTTCCTGCTTCTGCTTCTCCTCCTCTCCCTCCTCCTCATCTTCCTTATCCGAACTTTCAGTCTTGACAGGTTGATTCTCGTTCCGATCACCGTGGTCCTGATCACCCTTCCAGTCTTCCGCCCCATTGCACTTGCCCTGTTGCCTGTGCGTGTAAACAAGATTAAACTTTTTTTTTCTCCTTTTCACTCATTCTTTGTAAATGTTTCAAAATCGTAACGCAGTCGCGAAATGTCGATTTTCTTAACGAACAAACTAGAGATTGGAATTTGAATTGTCGCTCTTGTCCGCGATTTTGAAAAGTTGCGCCTTCCGGAACGGCAATATCGATCGATTTTGCTCCACGCCGAGCGTACGTCGCCCCCGCAAGATGGCGATTCGACGAGACGCGCTCGGTGAGGGCGAGAGCGGTGAGAGCGAGAGCGAGAGCGAGAGTAGGGGGAGAATACGGAACGCGTGACAGCTTTGTCGGGTTGTCGACGCCGACTGACGGCGATTACGATCTCGCCAAGACGATGACAGTGACCGAAACGTACCTGGTGGCGGACTCGGCAAGGTCCAGCAAGTACACCGCGACATCCTCGTCAGTCGTCAGACCCAGGCGTTTTTTCAGCGACAACCAGCGCTTGCTGTTTGTCACGCCGATATGTACGCTGCGAAGGTGCTTCGCTGCCGCCACTTTCGAGACGATCGCCGCACCGGGCGGCGGCGATTGTTGCTGCTGCTGCTGCCGCTGCCGCTGCTGCTGGCTGCTGCTTCTTGTGTTCCCCAACTCTCTCACATGCCGCATACTCCTCTTCGGCATAACTACATCGTACTAGGTTCGCGGCTGTGAAAGGCTGCGAATTGCGATACGAAACGAATCCGGATACGAGGCCCCGCGAGAGGACACCTCCGCGGGAGGACGCGCACCGATATTATCCTATCCTCTTTATGCTCACCGCCGCCGCCCACACCACCCACCCTCTCTCTCTCTCTCTCTCTCCCTTTCTCTCGCGGGCCGGCCATTCTATTTTATCGATCTCGCAGCCGCGAGATGCAACGCGCAACGCTCCCCGCCAATCCCGCCAATCCCGCCAATCCCGCCATCCGTGATTCGACGCCGACTTTTACGACCTTACGATACTCCGCCGCTGCTGCCTATCGGCGCGTCGAGAAAAAATATCTCTCGAGTCTCGACGAGCGTTTTCATGTAACGCCACGTGACACACTGATTCGATCGCGCCCT